CCGTCAAACTCTTGTCAAACTTCGCTGTCTTAAGACTAAAACGTTCTCCCGCTTTAGAACTCGTGTAAACTGCATATTCTTCCGTTCCAAGAGGAATTCCTTCGCTGAATGAGTCGCACTCGTTTTCTGAGCAAAGACAAACGGTCCCTCCTTGTCCAAAATCTTTGCTGATACATTTAGAATACTTAGGCGGAGAAAAAGCGCCGATGTGAACACAGAGAAGCCCCAAACCTACGCTAAAAATTGAAAAAATATACATTTTGAATTGTGAAATCTCGTGACTCTCATTCTCTTCGGCATTCTCCAGCAGGCGTTCCAAGTTGTTCCCAGTCTGGACAACACGTCACGTTACGATAACGTCATGCTAGTATTGAGAGCCTCTCTAACTATTTCAGATATGTCACGGAGTAATCGTGATAAATGTTGCAAGATTACTTTTAATGATGAATTACAACTTGAAATCTCTACATACATCAATCTAAAGATGAAAGGAGTAAGAAATACTGAAGCCTTGAGTGTCAAATATGTTTGGTGATGTCTAAGCGATTGTGTGACACTTCTAACTACATGGAATGCTGGGATATATTTCGGCGCCAATTTCGACGTAAACTTCAGCAGACATGATAATTTCTTCGCCTGTTTCTTTTTTATACCTTCCTTTTAATCTTTATCATTTTTTAAATTTTTATGATTGAACTACGATTGTCTGGGCCATGCAGCTACAGCGATTTTAACCACCTGCATGGACAAGGAACTGTTTTCGGCCATCGCATCAGAAAATTATAGGTACGTATGCATCTATTTGTCGTTTGCTCATGAAGTGAAGTTGGTTTGCATGACTGTTTTGATCGCTTCGATAGCTGACTTATTTGCAATAAATATCAGCGATCGGAGCAGAAGACTGCAGTAATTTATCAACTCATCGACATAAACGATCTAATGGAAATGCTGCTCCTATATGTAGTCTTGTACTGAGTTAACTTTGCAATGTTCTGCCAAGCGACAATCATGTGTTCCTGTGATTTGTTGCCGTTTTTTTGTCTCATGAGCAATTTCTTTTTCACCCGTTATGTGTAATTGCGATCACAGAGAATTTTAAGATCGAAAAGTATAAGTTCTTTCTCCTTACCTGTACTCTTTGTTCGGTTTTTCCTTACCTGTACTCTTTGATCGGTTTGAAAACTTTAAAGCTTCGCTCTCATCCGATCAGATGAACGATTGAAACAAATTACACGGGAAAAATAAACTTGGCAACCTCTTGTGTTTCAAGCAATACACATGTTTTAACTTTGAATTTTCATCGGTATTTTTCTTGTTCTGATTGTTTTTGGTCAATCGAAATGCGCGGTTTGTTAAAAAGGTATCATTGACATGTACCAAACAAGTCGTAAGGTCCTTTTTCATCCATTTGTCGTTTGCAGTCTTGCTAAGGAGCTCAGTTTGAATGGAGCGAGAGCTGATCAATTAGAGGATGGTATTACTGCTCTCCATCTGCTGGCTGGGCACGAGGATCAGGAAGCTTCAGAGGTTTTGGAGGTTTGTTTGAGGACTGCAGATCCTAACGTCAGATCTAGTGAGGGAATGTCACCTGTTCATGTTGCTGCTCTCTGGGGAAGGCTGGATAATTTAAAGTTATTGATAAACCATGGAGGTGATCTCAATCAAACAGATGATGAAGGACAAAATGTTCTGGATTTTGCCTCCTTGTCCGAAGGGACCAGTGCAAAACAGTGTATCAAATTTATATTAGAAGTAGAGTCAAACATAAGCTTGGACGAATCTAAAACCTGTATTCCTGAAGAAAAATGGGATGGAATGAAACATGAACAGCCAGTTGGTGAAGTCAGTTGTGGATTCAGTGAGTCATTTTACACAGCAATTGCAGAAGACAGTTTGCTCGATCAGACAGTGGTTACATTTCCAAACTTGCATCCTTGGTTTAGTGCCGATGTTTCTTCAGGTGACTTGGATGAAACGGTGGTCGATAAGATTACTGAACTAAGTATCTCCAGTAACAGGTATAAATTGTATAATATATGTTATATTCACTTTTGGTGTTTACATGCACATGTACCTTCAGCCATTTTTCACTTTTTAACCCTTTACACCCTAATATCAGTATGCATATTCTCCATACTGTTCTCTACACATTTCCTGAAAGGGTGACAAGGAGAATTTGGTTAAAAATCAAGAGCTTCATGAGGTGGTGATCATTTCCTTGATTTTCGCAACCTTAATGTTTGATTCATGGGTGATATTGTGAGGAGAAGTTAGAAGCTGGTCATTCTCAGGGGTTAAAGGGTTTAAGGCTATTATGACCCTAACCTAAAATGATCATAGCTTTACACAGAACATACTATTTTTTTTTTAATTATTTCTCTGACATGTACATAGAACTCTCTCTTGAGTCAAGCCTATAACTGATAGTAGCAGCCAGAAAGAGTGATGCCCTGGTTTCTAACTACAATCATGAGCTCCTTCCCACATTACCAGGATGGTGTTCTCTCCAGGGTTTTTGAAAATTATTTTTCAACATTTAATGGGGCTGTAAGTTGTCTAACTTAGAACAATATTTTGAGAGAGTACCCTTAATAGACATCACTTAATTTTATTTCCCCATTAACAATGTACATGAAAAAATTACACACTTCTGATAGGCTGAAAATGAGTGCATTCTCATGTAACGTAAGTGAAAAGTTGTAATACAATGTAAATTACAAATGGTGCACACTCGCTTTCAAAATTTCATCTCTCTTGACTTTCTGTGATGCTTTTTCATGGACATTATTGACAAGTAAGAACATGATTTCTCTTGCGATTTGGTGTAATACCGTAAGCACTTATAAACTTTTGAAGGACTTTATATGGCACTAGCCCTACAGGCTCTTCTAATTTTGTTGTCTTTGAAAAATTTAGTTATGCTTACTACTGACACCTAATTACACTCGAAATACCTATACTAATTCCTTTGAACATGGTCTTTTAAGTCTTGTAGATGGTGATGAAACCGTAGAAGAAGGTGCAAAGCAGTGGCTGGAACATACAAGTTATCAAGAGCATGGTTGGTACATATTATAAGTTAAGAATTGATTGTGTTTTGTTTGGATATCAAAAGATTGCAGTTCTTTTTTCCCATATTTCAATTTATGGTACAAGTTAAAAGACATCAGCTGAAAAAAAATCTGCATGAACAATGAGGCCAACTTAGTTAACTTCTTCTAACTTTTGCACAAGACTATGACAATGTCGTCCACTACCCTCTCCTCTCTGACCATAACTCAATCTAGTTCACAATAATTGTCTGAAAACCATCAAAGGTCACATTTGTTTTGAACCCAAATCTCCTGGGAGGGTTTGAAGAGGTGATTATTCCATAACATGGCAAAAAAAAAAAAGGATATTTGATACATTCTTTTCAAAGTGCTGGTATACACCTGCTGATATTTCCCTGCACGGTGAAAGATTTGTTTCAATTATGGTGCCCTCACCCTTTCACTCTCAAGATCTCATTAATAATATTCCCTACTGTCTGTTATACAGTTCTTATGATATTAGTCTGGACAGAGAATTTGGTGATGGATCAGTTAATAATCTCCTAATTGATATTTTTCTTTATTCTCATCACTTGTCTACTCGATATTGTATGGAGAAATTCTGTCTTGGTCACTTGTGGGAGTTAAAGGGTTACTTCTCAGACATATTTTCTATTCCCCTTTTTCACTTACTTACCTCTTGTCTCTTATATTCAGATAATGAAGACCCTGCAGAGTTTTATTTTGGCAATAGCACCATATTCTATGACTGGAAGGAGTGCAGCACAATATTGGACCAGTCTATCATCAATGAATCCATAACTGTGCCAGAGAATCTTTTCAAACTTTCTAATAATGATCTCAGGATGGAACTACAAAAGTATGGAGAAATACCTGGTCCAATCATGACAAGCACTAGAAATGTGTATATAAAACGATTAGCTCGGCTACAGAGTGGCTCAATGGATTCAAAGGTAAAAACTAACACAGCAAAGTAACAGGGAATATTAACTTGGAACTGCCGGGGTGTGGGTACATATATCAAGTATTGGTGTTGAAGTTAAGTCACAATGGCTTATCATGAGAGCCATCAACAATAAAACTGAGTTGAAAGTAACTGTGTTGTGTTAAGATTTCTCCCTTCCCATGCACAAAATTTCTTTTTGTGCTCTGAACTAAGGAGTTTGCAGTTTCTGTTTTTCATTTAGTTCAATACAAATGGTTGCTACTGCACTTCTGCAAAATTTAGAAAAATGTGACCACTTCTGTTGTTTTACTGGTAAGTTCAATTTGATTGTGACAGGTAAATTTTTATACAGACCAATTGCAATAAAGTTCAGGAAATGCAACCAAACCTGAAAACCACAAACTGTTTACATATAGCGCTTTAGTTAAGTTTTTTACCCTTTGTTTGCATATTATTTGAAACACAAAAATTTTCTGCAAATATAATTTGTTGTTTGTTGTGTTCTTAATCTCAAAGGAAATGATGAGCAAAGTCATTTAGGTTTGGAAAGCCTAAAAAAATTCTGACAAACAAATCTGGTGGGTTTGCCAACCACTGAGAATTCTCAATTGAGAGTTTAAATTAGTTCAGGTTTACATTGGCTTAAGTTTATTCACTCTGTGATTGTCAAGAACATTCATGCTCCCTTCTCAACCATTCACTAAACTAAAATTTATGGTGACCTGGCCACCAAAGTTGTCCTGTGCCTCAAGCAGTTGGCTAGTTTTTTCCTCGAGTTCTATCATCAGCCTGTGGTGATATTCTCCCAAGTTATGATTGGCCTTTCAGATTCTATTAATTTTACATCATTTGATGGAAAATGGTTCAAAGTGCTAGATCACCTAGCTTATGAGTGGACCTACCTTCCTGTGATCCCCCTTCTCCCCCCTTGCCCCACTCTCTCTGGTTCTAGGGTAGTAAGAAGAAGAGAGACACTGGGAACTAGATTTTCCCATAGTATGCATTAATTTGTTAACTGTATCCTAAATGCAATTATTTTTTACTTAGGAATCACTCTATAGTGAGTATCTACCAGAGCTAAGGAGACATTTGGAGGGGAAAGCAGAAACGCCAGATTTGTTTGAGGAGGAGGAGTCTATGTGCATAGAATTCACCTGTAAAAAGAATTGGAGGGAGGGGTGAGTCGTTCGTGTAATCAATAATTTCAAGTGATGTAATCGGGAACACTATCTAACTTTCTTGTATGGACTAAGTGCAATTTTTTTACAAATAAATTCTGTTTTGTTTAGTGTCTGTTTTTTTTTCTT